TTAAGCATGTATTTATCTCCAGCATGGGGATCTTTTGCTCAGAACAGAGTACCTGTTCTTATACACTAAAATGTCCCTGCTAAATGAAAGCCCATAGTCCTGTCTGCTTGCTTCCACTTTCTCAGTGTTCACTGTATAAGGTGAGATACAAAGCAATGTACTAGTAGACAATGCTAGAGGGTGATTAGGCAGGCCTTGTATCATCCACTTTAAATTATTTCTGTTCTTTTTCATGATCTGGCTAATCCTCATGGCCATTTTAATATCTCTTGTTCCTCTTTTCCTCAGTATTTGTGACTCATGATGTCATCATGTGTAAACAAGATTAGATTGGCTGCCTCTGCTCAGCTGGAATTAGGTTTAGTCTCTTGCTGATCCCACATAGAGAAAACTATTGCATAATTTGATTCGGATAATGACTCCTAGTATTGACTTTTGCTGAAATATCTCATTTATTCATCTCAATAAGTATCTCTTCCTCCAGATTTTGGCGATTCATCTTACTTTAATTCCCATTTCCAATTTCTACATTTACAAACCAAGGTTCTCTGCTGTTTGGTAATGTTCAATCTCTGGCACTGTTTGTTTGCGGGTAGAGCCAGACAAAGCTCAGTGAGAGCAGCAGTTTCAAAATCAGGGAGTGTCATTATTTTAACTAAAGAATTAGTCTGGATTTTGCAGTCTCATTTTTCACACAGGTTGATGACAACCTTGGAAGCCACATGAAAAACAGGACTTACCTAAAAAAAGAAAAGATGTTACTGCCTGCACTCTTTTCAATAGGTGCTGTGTAGGTGCTAGAGATGGAGTTTACTCCTCTTTTCATGTTTCTGAAATGATTCTCTGTCTGAAGAATGGCTAATTGCCTCATCTAATTGCTATGTCTTTTTCCTTCTCAATAGCATGATACCAAGTACTCATATGTTGTATGCACAGTAGAGTTCCCAGGAATTTCCCCTCCAGGATGTCTGCCATTCCCAAACCTTGATCTGGTTCAGGAACAGCACATTTCCCCCAATGTGGCTCTTCATGAGGCAAAGCATATCCAGGAGCCAGGATGGAAGCTCTAGGCCATCCAGGTGCTCCCTTCACTGCCATTGTCTTCTGTGGTCAGCTGAGCATGGGTTGTGCTTGGGGAAACCTACTCTACAGCTGATCAGAATCAGGCTTTAATTACAAAACCTTATGGTACTTTCTTTGCATGACACACTACTTGAAATGCTGGGTACAAGTCTTCTGGCATTAGACGGCACAAAAGTGGTGCTGTGGACTCAGCTTAGACTTGAGGACAAGATCATGTTCTGATCTCCCCTGGTCCAGTCCGTGTGTCAGTCCTGTGGCCAAGGGGACCATCTGGGACCATGGCATAAAAAGGGACAACTGAATGCAAACAAAATATCAAAATGTTTCCAAAACCTAAAGTTTTTTGACCTCATGCTTGAATCAGGTCTATCCTTTCTGGAGACATGCAATCTATTTTAGCTATGTATTTTTTTAATTAAATTAAAAGAGGAGAAAATATTTTCCCATGGATTTATTCTGATTCTGTTACTGTCTTATTATGGTTCTACGGGTTGTCTATGATTTCACTGGCAAGCTGTATCTGATTACTGTTCAGATCTGGAAAGAGAGGTACTCTGTTATATGTAATAGTAGAGTGGAAAAAATTTAACCTGTCATAGCTGAGCCAATTACCTAAGTAGTGGCTGTTTCTTTCAGTCATATGTTTAGCATATTTTTGTAACATACTGAAGAATTTCCTGCTCTTCCATGCATGAGTGATAGCTTGGAGCAAGTAGTTGAATTAGCATGATTTTCTTTAGAAAACAGATTAGAGACTTCAAACACCTCTTGGTTAACTCAAAATATTTTCACAGGAGAAGGTAAATGAAAATAGATACTTGTTTATTCTCCCAAGACTGTAAATAATTTAGGAAATTAGCAGCTATATTTGTTTTTCCTACTAGAAAATGCAGAAAATCAGAAAAAGAAAAGAAATTAAAAAATTAAAAATTCCGATAAGAAAATAAATTACATTAAAGTTTTAAAAATTCCAATATGAATTAATTTCACATTTGGGGGTGGGGGGAAATTAAGCTGACTCATGATTAACCTGCATTGATTCATTTGTTTTTTTGTCAAAAATGAAAGCTTCATATTACCTTTCACATTTACTGTAAACCCCCTCTTTATTATATACATCTCCCCAGCAAAAATCTGTCTCCCAGTTGGCCACCCATTCTTTGTAAGAGAACTGGGCATACTTGAATTCCCCAGGACATGACTGTAGGAAGACTGGTAGAATGCCATGTTCCTCTGGCTCAGTTCTCACTGATTTTTCTGCCAGTAAAAGTTTTCACACAATGACCTTCCCAGCAGGGAAGGGCTGGCTTGGGCTTGGGCTTGGGCTCCATCAGCCTGGAAAGCCATCTATACTGGTGATCATTTTGACCCCACAGCATCTCAGAAGGATGGTCTAAGACCAATTGAGCCTGTAGTCTCACAGTTTACTATGCTCACACCCCTTTATTGTCCTTATGATCCTAGCATCCACTTTTATGGATACACATCTCTTGAGGTAAGCAGGAAGCCTGAAGCATATAATGGCTCTTGGCAGCTTCATTTCTCAGTAACAATCCAAAGGAAGTTGGAGAAAGACAACTGGAATGGTCCTTAGCACCCAGAATCCCTTTATACTTCTCTTTTGTCACTGTATCCTTAGCTGGTAGGGTGATAAACACATTTGATGGTGTGTTTAAGTTTTAAATTCTGATGTCTATGCCCTTGTTTGTAATGAGTAAGTAGACATACTCCAAAAGTGTTAGCAGCTCTTTTCCCTCAATGACTTATAAAAAGAAGAGAAAAAAGATCTAGCATTTTCTAGAGTGGTTTAGAAAGTAATAGTGCCAACCAAAAAATATGTATATATATATATATATATATGTATTTAATTTGATTTAAGCCTTATTAGTGTATTTTCAATTTGAGGATTAACTTGTTTCTCACTGGAGTTTTGGTATCACCCTCTTTGCAAAGAGCAGTTAAAAAAATTCATTAGTGGGGATGGTAAACTCTTCTGCCATTTCAGTCAATGTTGTAAGGTAATGTAGCCTGGAGCTTTGCACAGCTTGGCACTTGTTATAAAAGAGGGTATTTCTAATAAGATTTACATTTATTAAGACTACTGTGGCTGCTCCAATCTTGATCTTCTTGAAGTTAAAGGGAGAATTCTTACTGACTTAGGATATGACCCAAACATTTTTCTTTTGAAAAAAAAGCCGTCTTATAGCATCCCTCATTTTACTGGTATAAGAAGTAACTTCAAATCAGCCTTTCTCACATTTTGTTCTTACCTGGATATATAGTGCACATACATTCTCATTAATTCCCACAAACATTTTGCATGGATATTTTGACATGTTACCTCTGTGCAAAGCACATATGATAGAAGATAACAAGTGAAGGTCCTTGTTTTAGAACAAGTATAGGCTTCTCAGCAAATTACTGTTTTCTTTTAGCAGCTGTTCAAGGCTTTGTAACTTTGGATGCCCAATATAAAAGTTTTCCCTGTTAAGCATAACTGCATAGATAAAGCCAAGCTATACAAAAACTAGCCAAACGTAGGCCTATGTCATGATGTGCATTTGTGTTCCTTTCCCTTATCATATAAAATTGTATTTGTCGTATATTATTATGCATTATTCTTTTGTTGTATGTAACTTCTTTGTTGCCTAATGAAGTGATAAATGCTCCATCCCTGGCAGTGTTCAAGGCCAGGCTGGACAGAGCCTTGGGTGACATGGTTTAGTGTGAGGTGTTCCTGCCCACGGCAGGGGGGTTGGAACTAGATGAGCTTAAGGTCTTTCAACCCTAACTATTCTATGATTGTATGATGGGAGAAAGATTTGATCATATGAGGTATCCCTTCTACCATGGCCTCTTACCTCAATATGAAGAACGTATTTGAGGGCTGAATTGCCATCTGAGTTAAACCAGGATATCCCATCCAATTAGAAAAGTACAGTACTAGCAGACATCATTGTTAAAATAAACAGCCACTAAGATGTCCTCTGCCTTACCAAGGCCCTTAGTGTAGTCATTATGTACATTCTTGTTATCTTCATTGATGTCTTTTCCTTTCATGGAGCTATGTTTTCCATTATACCAACTGAGAGCAAATGGCATGTCTTGAATGACTTGGGTTGAAAAGAACTTACTTTGCAATGTTCTTTTGAAGATTTTGCCTTTTTCCAACTATCAGACTCTGCACAAAAGTGCCTGCTATTCTTAAAACTAAAAGACTTTACCTGGTGAATTTACTGACATATTTTTATATTTAGAGAAGATAGTAAGTAAAAGACCCTTCATATCAAGTCAGAGTATTTTTCCTGATGATGTAAATTTATTACAGTTGTGTGAAATGTCTGTTTTCTTAGGGTATTTTCTTAGGAAAAGAGCAGTCAGTAGCTTCATTGCAGCTAAACACTGGATTTTATAGAAGCACGTTATGTATAAATAATTGGTTTAAGTGTCATAAGTCTTTCTGTACGAATGCTTATTTTTCACTCTTAGTAAAACAGCCAGACTGGTATCTGCTCATGAGCCAAGTCACACACTTTTATTTCTATTGTGAACAAGAAAGAGCTTACAAACAAAAATTTAATTCTTTAGCTGAATAAATAGCTTCTTGGCAGCAATTATAAGAGGCTCAAAATACTTATTATGCTTTGATTAGAATTGTAATTCTCACTGAATCATCAACACCTATAGCAAAGACTGGTATTTTTTAATAATGAAAAACTGAATTTTTAGCCTTGAACAGTCATCCACCCTAGACTGCAGAAATGTATCAAATATATAGCTAATGTAAATGAATGTTTTCTGCATTGCTACTATTATTGTATAGTTTAGGGAGAAGAAATATGTTTATAAATGAGAAAGCTGCTTATAGACAATACATAATTCAATACATTTCAGTGTTAAGTTTGTTTCCAAATTAGGGTGATGACATCTTGGGATGCTTTTTGAAAAATTACCCATTTTAGAAAATCTGCTGCATGATATGAGGATGGATAACTTTGGTTATGCAAGTAACTCTTTGATATCCAATTTATTAGTTTAATAAGTTGAACGCTGTTCCTCCTATTTCCTGACTGGATGCGAATATATCCTGGAATAAGAGCTGTCTGTACTAGAAATTCACCTTTTCCCTGGTATAAAACATACTGATTTCAGTAACTTCTGCCAGTGACTGTCTTGAAAGAAGATTCAAGGAAAATAACTGTGACAGGAGCAATAAGCCATCATAACTGTTCTGACCAAATACTTTGAAACAATATTTTAATTCATCCATCCATTCACCTATTCGTGCTAGTTGTGATCCAGTCACCCAACTGAATGCAGGTAAGTTCAGCCTGGCAGATCTAGTCTATTCCTGTGGGCACAGCAACATTCAATAACCCAAACAGGTAGGCAAACTCACAAGGAAATGGTCAAGACTAACACCTGGCTTTCACCATGGCAAATAATAGTGGATGTCCTTTGAAGGCAATGTTTCAAGTTCAGCAAGCTGGCATTTTTCAGCACATTTCTGTCAACTAGCTCCATGGCTGCTGCATCTGAGATGTTGCAGTGTTGTCACAACCTTACTGACAGCTTTTAACAAATATTAAGTCCTGAACCAGTTTGAAAAGTATACAGGAAATCTGCCCCCAACCCCCCCCCCCCCCCCCAAACATTAATTCCTGGTCTCTCTTTTAAAACAACGCTGGATTGACATTAAAAATGCCAGTCCTCATGAGGACACAGTGTTAGACTGTGGCCTCAAGCCATGACCATCATTGGCTATAGAGCAGAGAAGCAGCAGCACGTGTAGACCTGGAAGCTGTGTTATTAAAGGAATCTGATCAGCTGAGCCAATATGTCTCTTGGAGATTCAGAGCAGAACATAGAAGAATGCTCTGTGCCAAATCACTCATTACCTCACACCTACCCAATCTTACCAGACCTCTTTTAGGAAACAACAGAAGCAGCACTGCTACTACCCTTGTGTTTTTACACTTGGGACACTGCACAAAGGCACAGAAGTCCCTGCCCCAATACTTCTTAGAGCTAACAGGGGGTTTGCAACAAGCCCCATGAGATGGAAGGACTCTTTGCATCTCCTCTCTCTCCAGCCCCCACTCTCATGCATGCATACATACATATGAAGAGTCAGGTCTTTATTTAATGGGACTTGAATTTATAGCACACAAGAACAGTGTGGGATCTGTACAGAAAGTGATAATACGGATTTAATTAGTTTGATCTTCCTTTCTGTGCTAAAACTGGGTGTATTTAAATTATTATTGTGGCTTTTCTTCACTATTTGCTTTGTACATATAATAAATAATAATACAGTAATTTTTCAAATGTCTTTACTGGTGTCTATGCAGCAAAATGGGAGTGCTCAGTGGAAGACTAACAACTTTATTGTTATAGTACATTTAATTCCAAACAAATCTGAAATCTAATGACTTTACAAATTTTAATCCCTTCACCCATCTCGGAAACGCCAACACATTTTATACATGGCTGTTATTTAAGAGTTCAGAAAAGCACAAAACAACTAATTGGGGCAGAAATCCATTTAACCTTACCTCGTCAGCCAAAAGTAGTGTAGTCTAGGCTAGCTGCACCAGCTCCTTTTAGTGAAAGGCTAATCTAACTCACTGTTCACCCCCATGATCAGCTGGGCTAACCCAAAGGAAAGGGCAGGAACACACAGTGAGGATCAGAGAAATGTGGGAAGGCTCTTATTCAGAACAAAATAGTTTGGAATTAGGTTAAGACAACTCTAAAAATCTCACCTGGTTCTTATGGCTAGAGAAGACCCTTGTTTCATTTACAGCTGCGTCTTTTCTTTTTCCCCTTATAAATTCCTTGTATTTAACTCTGCAAATTAACGCAAGAAAATACCAGGCAGGTCACCTGAGGAGCATGCTATTTGTAAAAAATAACATTCAGTTCTCTATTTCTTTGCAGATAGGAAGAAGCAAAGATGTATTATCAACGTTATGTTGCAAAAAGAAAGCATGCAAATCAAGGAAAAGTAAAAATGAGATATTCTGAGAAGACCTGAAATTAGCAGAGTTGAAATTAAATTAATCCCTTTGAACCAACGAGCTTTCTGCCTTCCAAATTTGCTCCTATCTATCTCTGGTTCTATACTGTGACAATGGAGAATTTCAGTGACCTGTGTTGCACCTAAAGGATATGCAGCTCTGGAAAAGTATGTGTGGACTTGTTAAGACTCAGCAGTACGCTTGCTCTGCCTGGATAAAACTACTCCAGGGTTACAGGGAAGGAAGAAGGAGTTATTGTTAGGCGTCGCACTAATATTCAATTTATTTCTCTTAGGGAAGACATTGTACTGTCATAACAGAGTAATTACTGTAAATTGAAGAAGCTGATTAAAAATTTCCTAAAGTTTTGGTACAAACATTGACACAAAATAAACTCCCTGAAACTTACAGCAAAGACTATTCAAAGGTACCAGTGGAGAAATTATAGAAAGTACAAGTTTAAAAATAAAGCACCAAGGTAACCTAGGGATTTACTGTGATTTAAAACAGCAAGGGAGTCAGACTTATTCTAGAAAATAGATACCCAATCTGAAAACCTTCTGTAAGAATGAGCTCAATGATAGGCCAATGAAAACAGAACTGAAAAAGAATAAAGAAGAACCAGGTGCACTAAACACAGACATAAATACATATACAGTTTATTTAGTTATACCTGACACAAGGTGTATATTAGCATTTACCTAAAAGCACAGTGTAGAGAAATTATGGGAAAAGATCACTCATTTTCTTTATCTTCATGAAAATATTTGGAGGCATGTATTAGACATAGTTCATTCAGTTATTTGAGGAGACAGACTGCTGGGAGATTAAGCTAAATCTAAATTAAGAACAAAAGGGCTTTTTTTGTTTGTTTGGAGGTTTTTCATTTGAAATCAGGAAATTTGAGCCTTGATAAGTCAGAGCAACAAGCATGAACATAGTACTTCACTGGAAATTCGTCATCTCCTAGTTTATCAAACCAGGTCAAAAAAGCCAGTGTTCAATTCACAGGACCCTCCATCAGATGTTAAAGTTGATGTTCTCTCCACCTGCACACTGGATGGAGTGCAGTGCCAGGGACCTTAGCCAAGGCATGGTGTATCACAGCCCTGACATGGTCCACAGCCTGAGTTCAAGACACGACCCAGCATCCATGAGCAGTCATGCCTGGAAGTATCATGGGGAACAGCCAGTCTGCAGGGTGCTTTGGTGAATAACTATGCCCACAGGGCAACTCTTCTTCTGGAGTCACTAGTTTGTAGAGAAAATTGGCTTTTGTAGTTGCTGTCAAAGAACGGCTTTCCTCCAGTATCCCACTGTCATCACCCAAGCCCTTTCACATTTTTAGAGACTGTCCTTTTGTATTCATGGCAGGGAAACACACTCTGGATGGTTGCCCAGCCCAGGGCTTGTTCTACAGAGTGGGACAAACAGGATAGGAAACCATGTATTTAGAATAATACGTACAGATATGTACAGGACTTCAATCTACATTTTCAAGACATTGTATGCAGACTAATGCAACAGCAGATTACAAATCTAGGTGCCCAGTTAATACTGTCAGAGGCTCAATCTTTACAGGACTGACTAAGTACATTTCAGAACACTGGATTTTCATGCTGGATGTATATTTGATTAACTTTGCTACTCAATATGCAGGCTAGCGTGGTGCCTGGTGCATTGTGGGAAAAAAACTTCATATTGTATTGCAGATATATGCATGGAAATATATTTATTCTCGTATCAAAATGTCATTATTGGCTTCAAATCAGGACTTTGATAGTTTGAAGTTTCTGTTCATTTGCTTAGAAACTGAATTCAGATGTCATTGATGAAGCTTTTACTAACTTGCCTCTAATGCGGCTGGCAGCTCTGTCTTTATCTCTGTTTCTTTCCACCTCCTCTCCTGGACAACCATTCCTCCTTTGCTCCTTGAGTCTCTACTCTGTACCTTGTTTCTTTTTTCCCTAGTACTTAACTTTGAAGTTAACTCCCTAGGGGATGTTCATCTGATGTTCTTAACAAGCAAAGTCTAGCATTCTGGGAAACTCCCATACCTTTGGGTGTCACTACAGACTCAGATCATGGTCAAAGTTTTTCTTAGATTCATTACCCTTTTTGCAGGGACTTGGTCCTTTCATAAACACTCAGACCACTGCTTACTTGCATTATCAAGGACCACAGGAACCCAGTGGCTTCATGACATTTTCACAGAAAACAGTTTGTAGCAATAGTTTCTAAATGTAAGCAATTTACCAGCCTTGTAGAAAATTCTGGGGATGTGCATACATGCAAATCATATACAGAAAACTTCTGGCTGCACTCTTACATTTGTCTTGGTTTAGCCTTAGGTCTTGTATTATCTATCATTTGTACAAGTTTTAACTTACCTTTAGCAATTTTGCTCAAAGCTGTTTCTCCAACTGTACACGTTGTCACATGGTTTCATTTTATCTGCTGTGTGCATATATTTTGCTATTTTTTGGTGTATCTTTCCTAATCAGCTATTCCAGTAAGAACTGTACCATTTATGTCTGACTCATTAACCATGCAGTCATTTCTATTTCACTTGGTTTTGCCCTTAGTAAAGAAATGTTTTATCAAAATGGTAAAGCTGAGCAAATAATTTACATCAAACGCTTTATCTGCTCTCTCCTCCTGGGAAATCTATGACCAGATTGCACTTATTTCTCAATTATTAATTATTTATAGTTTCCCAACACTAGTTCATTTCTTGCTATATGGATTAATTACAAATATCTTAAACAGCAATTAATTTCCTTCACTCTATAGTTAGGCAGCAAGGTCAGGTCACTTTGTTGCTGAACCCTGAGCCATGTCATGCACAAGCATTCTTTACTTAGAAAAATACTAGTGTCAGTAAGTGGACAGCCCTTGAGTGTTTACAGAAAAACACACACCCGTGTCTTTCCAGGTAAAGGGATTGTATTTTGGTTAACATTTATCTTGTCAGGTTATGAGAATGCTAACCATGCAGCAGGCAAGCGAAGCTTTGTTTTGTACATCAGTGTATAAGGCTGTTCTGAGTATCTGCAAAAAGTCCAAATGACATAAAATTCAGGGACTGTGAGCTTCAGATGTCCACCTTCCCTTGAAAGTGAAGTGAAACCAAGGTCAGGATATGGGTGCTCATTCAGGCAACACCAGGCTGAAAACAGGGTGCATCTGTCCTCTGAAAAGATCAACATCTGCCTCTGCTGCCCTTGAACAAGTCCACCAGTGGTATGAATTCACCTCACGGTGGTATGAATTCACCTCACCTTCCTTTACTGACTTGTCAGTAAAGTCAGTAAAGGTACAATGTCTCCTCAGTGGGTCCTCTGACAGTAGTACACTAGGAACACTGCACTGGTCTACTTGTAACCAAGTCAGAAAGAAGCTTATGTGTTTGTAGACTCACACAGACCTCCCTCCTGCAAACTGCAGAGAGGAGTTTGGGGTGCCTCTCTGAAAGCACTAATCTGAATATCCCTTCAATGGGGGACAGTCCATCAGTCACAGATGAAGTGCTGGGCTTCTCTGAGCTTCCTGTTCCCACATAGACCGAGCAAGCTGTATCTTTAAGGAGAAAACCTTTCTGTGTATATGCTGTGAGGGGCAGTTTAGTTAGTTTTAAGATGTTCTAGTTGTTTAAAGAAAAATATCTGGTCCTATCACAAACACCTACAAGGTGCTGGAAGCTTATCCCGCAAGTTGCTGAATCTGTTTGTCTGAAATCTGCAGACAAATATGTAACAAACACAGTGATTTTAAAGGGGTTTAACAGCCGTGAGCTGTTCAGAACTGCATTTCTTCACCCAGACCCACCCTCTGGGCCTGGTATTCTCAACTCACTCTTCAGGCAGCAGCCCCCTCTGTTAGGAGTTCAGGTCACAACAGACCTGTAGTTGGCATAGAAACAATTTGAAATCTCCTGACAGGGCACTCTTCTGCCTCTCAGAGGGGATTTGCACTGCTCTGTTAATGAGCTAATAACATTTCAAAGCCTAAGGAGAAAAGATAAGTGAAGGCAGAACTACAGCCCTTCTCAACCACAGGTGCAAGAACCACATTGCTTCCATTTTTAAAACTCGGGCTTCTTTATTACTTGGTTTAGCCTTGAGAAAAAATATGGTTCTTCAACATTCACCCTCAGCTTCCATGGCTTTAAGGCCCGGAGGTGGCTGGGCAGTGGGCAAGTTCATGCTGGATTGGGTCTTCATTGGCAAGGGTCCTTATTATACAGATGCCATCTCTTAAGAGTGTAGCACATGATCCCAACACCGACACCTTAAGCAGATAGTCATAATTGTCATAACATAAAAATGATGTCTCTGACAGAGCTGTGCTTTCCATTATCACCCCTGTTGTCTGTAAAAGTGAATCTGAACAGGTATTTCTAATAAGCTGTGGCATGGGCTTGGCTTGCTAAACCTGGAAAAACTGTAAGAGAAATTAATGCATCTGGGTCTGTGATCTGCATCTAAACTGAATTCCGCTTCAGGTCCCATCCCAGCATACAGCAGACAGGAGGAAGTTATGTTATCTACTTTACAATCTATTCTAGGAAAATGTTTTGAGTGGCTACAATCAGCAAGAGATTTGTCTTCCTTATTCAGCAGTTACGTATTCTCTGTTCTCTGCAGAACATGGTAATATTGTGGGGTGATTTCCTCACTGTCAGCTTATAAAAATACCACACTAATTTGTTGTAGTTGGAGTGGCTTTGCTGGGAACCCTTCCAAAGCAGTCAAATACCTACATGGACTGACTTGGCTGCCTGGCTTACTACATGCACTCTAAATATGGCAGGGTGAGACGTATTAGAACATACCAGCCTAGTCACCATCTCCCTGCTCTTGTACTCTTCATAGTAAAATCAATGCACATTGTGCTCTCAGGCTGGGGCTATTTTTAGGTGGTATTTTTCCACTCAGTCTGCAGCTGTTTTCAGTCACAAGCTTCTTTAACTAAAACAAATACACAGTGCTTGGCAAAGAAGAGGTTGTAAAGAGGATGGAATT